CTTTGTTAATTGCTTCTTCCTGTTCCAATGAGATCAGGGAAGCAGGGGCAGAACCTGGGGAAAAAAAGGTGCTGCTGTGCTTTCTCTGTTTCTTTCAAACCTTGGAGGAGATCCCAAAGGGCTCCCACGCTCCCATGAAGCTGAATTTTGACGCATTATGAGATGGCTAAGGTGTATTCACAGCTACATCTGCCTAGACCCCAAAAAGTCTCTTGTAGTAGGTGGATCTACTGATTTAAACACCTTGTAGCTGACAGGGAATTAGTCTCATTTTCTGAAAACTGACTTTGTGAATTTGGTATTTTAGGGCTGCTAAGGGACTAGAAAAATCCAAAAGTTCTGAATTTCAGATCACGTAGAACATGAAGTCCCAACCTCCTGTGTTTATTAAAGACGAGCTAATCTTTTATAAAGGTTTTGAATCGGTACTCTTCATATCATGGGAAGGGATTACTCCCTCTATACTCACTCTAGGCCATGCTGCCTCTCAAAAAGAAGTGCTAGTGAAGTGCAAAGTCTAATAATTGTCACAGGTAGCAGATACAACGTTAAGCACATCCTGACAAAAGATAATAGCAGGGGTGCTGCACTGCTCCACTGTACTTTTTTTAGCCAACGCAGAGACCAGTCGGGTCCTGGAGACACTTTCTTCACACAAGTAGCACCTCTTCAAAAATAGGTTCACAGAGAGGGTTGAGCCTGCAAAATCAAACATGCCAGAACTAAACCCACCCATACCCTCGTGTGCTCACTTGTCAGCCTTTAATCAAATGACCACACAGCCCTTTCCCCCCACAGGATTCATATCTCATTCAGTGCACAAGATACACAACAGTCTTCAGTGAGAGACTCTGGTATTTTTCTTCTCCTTGCCCAGAGTATTGCCCATGGGCCTTCCTTCCATTGTATTTAAACCTTTGGTGAATACACAATTATTGATTGTGCTCATCACTGCACATTTTAAGTGCTTCACAAAACATTAATGCTTTCAACCTCCCTCTGAGGTGAAGGGAAAGGACTCTTGTTTTGCACAGGCATGTGAATCAAAGAGAGACTGAGGTAGAAAGTACCACTCATTGTGGTGGTCCAGTTTCAGACATGGAGACCTGATCTCCCATGTTAGTTAACATAACACAGCACATGAAATGTTAAAAATGGCTGTCGTAACTTCAAGCCATGGCTGTGAGCAATTCCGTTCCTCTGCAGAGTTAAGAGTGTTAGGCTGGGCCTTCAGAAGAGAAACTCTATGAGCCTGATGGTCATTTCTGACTAGTTCCGTTTGCCCAGCATCAGGCTGGGATTGAATTGCAAGAGCCCAGTCCACCCTCCGGGCAGCAAACAAGCAGGGGAGAGGCTCCTTCCTCTTTTACAGCTACCTGGGAGAGATGAGGTAGGGTCCTGTGGCTGTGACTGATCATGAGGATGTTCAGCCTGTGCACTGAAGCAGGTAGAAGCCCTGCAAAAAAATACCATGCAACCCTGAAATTAAAGATGGTATCAAAGCACAATCACAAGGGGGCAGTACCTTCATTCTCCTTAATGACCAGCTTCTGCATGCTTTATTTTGCTGCTTTTTCTCTCTCCTAGAGAAATCCTAGAGAATCATAGAATCATTTAGGTTGGAAAAGGCTTTTAAGGTCATTGAGTCCAACTGTAAATCTAATGTTGCCAAGTCCACCACTAAACCATGTCCCTAAGTGCCACATCTACATGTCTTTTAAATATCTCCAGGGATGGTGACTCCACCAGTTTCCTGGGCAGCCTGCTGCAAGCCTTGATAACCTTTTTGGTTAATAAATTTTTCCTAATATCCCGTTTAAACCTCCCCTGGCACAAGTGGAGGCCGTTTCCTCTTGTTACTTGGGAAAAGAGATTGACACCCACCTCACTACAACCTCCTTTCAGGTAGTTGTAGAGAGTGATGAGGTCTCCTCTCAGCCTCCTCTTCTCCAGACCAAACAACCTCAGTTCCCTCCTGCTCCTTGTAAGACTTGTTCTCTAGACCCTTCACCAGCTATGTTGTGTTATAGGAAAGCATTTTGTCCCAGCTCGCTTAACGTGGACAGTTCCTGGTCTGTCTCCTGTCTCCTCTGAAGACCACTTTCTTTTACACATTCGGGGAAGGCTGTTATGGTTGGGCAGACAACTTAGCCTCCATGAGCATCCTAAGGACGTACCAGACTAACCAGAGCTGCAGGGAAAGGTCCTCCTTACTCTCTGTGGGCCCCGGACTTGAACATGCTGAATGCGTAGTCTATTAGAAACCTCTTAAGGGCTTATAATTTGGCTGAATGGGACAATTTCTCAAGAACAGCAAAGACCATATAGGTAGCGTTTAGGCAACATCCCTGGCAAATTTTAGCTTCTCAGTGATAAGGTAGCAAGAGGTCTTTTGGTTTGTATGGGAAAGTTTCTTCTTCCCTAACTTCATTCTGGTAAATTAATAACTTTGATGACACTTTTTGGAAATACTCAGCATTAGACAGGTATCAGCCATGAAAAATGCTGCCATTTGGCAGTTAAAAGTGATTGGAAACAAGGTCTAAAAGTAGGAGAATTGTGTAATGTTAAGTATAGTTCATGCTACTGATGGTGCCTAAAATACAAATCCTTCCTGTCTCACAGTTCCACCTACTGGCACCATTTTCTTGCAGTAACTCACTATGAGATTCACATGCAAGTTTCCAGAAGCTGGGATTTGACACTAGGAGTTTTTTTCTAAACCTTGAGCACTGTTGCAGTCGGGATATTAAACGGGATGAACCTCCACTTTGATTCAGTGCAGCAGTTCTTGTGCTGAATACATTATTTACAAGACACCAAGTTGCAATAAAATAAGTTTTACAGATAGTCTTGTTGCTATTTAGTCTTGGGACTTATTAAAGCAATGAAGTGTGGCTTGGGTTTAACACCTTATGTCACTGTTTACTGTGGCGTAACACTTTTATAGACAGGTGCACATGGGTGAAGTTAAAAGGCATCAACAGAGGTGAGCTGCAAAGCTGGAAAAAGAGCTAGCTCTCTTCCTTTCCCTCCTTTCCACCGGGAAGAATGGAGATATACATTTCCAACTTTTCATGTTGAACAGGCATACTCTCATCAAAAAGAAAAAAATCATTCATTCTGAATTGTGTGAAATTCTGGATTAGCATCCCCGGAAAGCATGACCAGGAAGTGCAGAAAGCTTCGGTCAATCATAGGCTCAGTCACACAAGCCTTGCCTTCTTCAGTGACACCAGGTCACAAGACTCACTGTTCTACTTCTTAGCATCCTTACTCAGTGTCTGCCCACAACTCACTCCAGCTCCACAACTTTTTCCAACAAAACCATTCATCTGACTCTGGCTTTGCAGGGATGGCCCTTAGGTTTGTGATTCTGTGTGTCAAAAACATACACCAACCATTCCTAGCTGTGGAGGAAGGAGGGAAGACCTACTCCACTGTAGAGACTGGGCCAACTTCCACGTACTATTTGCTTTACCACAGTTACAAGCAATGGAAAAGGAGGTTAGTAATTGAAGTACCATCCCATCTTGATGACAGTGGGGATGGTACACCTCCACACAGTACATATACTTAACAGATGTGGTCCAAAACTGCTGCCAGCTATTGACATAAATCATATTCCGCATCAGGGAGCTTTGTAATTAGGACTGTGATTACACAGATTGCAGAGTTGTATTGCAGAGCTATGAAATCATACCTGTGAAATACTGTACTCTATTCAAGTACATCAGAGCTTAAAAAACCCCAACAGCACTCATACTAATGCCAAATATTTACAGTGCTGTCACTTTCAAAGGTTAGCAGGCTCCCGGTTTCTAACATACCAGCTGCACGTCCCATACCACCTGCCCCATTTTCTCCAAAAGTGCAAAGCCCCATAGCTAGTTTTTGAAGTTGTAAGCGTGTCATTTTTTGCTGGAGAGGCATGTTTTGACCCTTGCCAAAAATGGGTCTTTCAGATCTCAATAAATTGCTGTGGGGACTTGCTCCTTTGCCTCATTGCAAATTGAAGGTGGAGGCTGCTTTTAAGCCAGGGACCAGCAGCACTCTTTGTTTGAGTGCCATAAATGCAAAACCAGTATTTTCTGAGGCTTTGGAGAGGCAGGGGATTTTTCTTGGAATACCAAAGGAGCTTTTCTCAGTTAACATATAGCAATGTCACAAATACAAGAATGTTCTGCAGTTGCATCTCCATTTTCACTTCTGTTTTCCTTCATTTTCTTCCACTCCCCTTTTTTGACATTCTTGCTTCTGTTCCCTCTCCCTGTGCCCTGTTTGCTTCCCTTTCCTGTACAACTTCTGCCCACCTCTTCCCTTGATACTCAGCTCTTCTGTCTCCAGAACAACCATTTTTGGCTGTTTTCTTGCACACACAAGTGAAGTGGCCAAGTGACAATCTCAGCATTCCTGATAATACTGGATAATGAGAGGACTTCTTTGGTAGGAAACAAAAAAAAAAAAAAGATAATTTACCTACAGGAAGTCTAATCTTTCAATATATGAACTAAAATATGAAAAAAAAAAAGTGGAGATTAATACCAAGAAGTTCTAGCCAACAATTTTCATTGAACAGTACCACGCATCTATGCTTTACTCTCTGATAATTGTCACGTAGGAACATTTCACTGTCCATTTTATCTATGACCAGAATAACCCAAGTGACTTAAGTCACAAATCTATCCTAAAGCTTCTTCTCTGAAAACAGATTCCCGAGCACACATGAACACGCTGTTACTGCTGGTCAGATGGAGTACTACCTACACTGGACAACAATATGACAAAAAGTCCCTTGTGGTTACCTTTCAGAGCAAGAAAAAAAAGTACTTTATACTTTAAATTAAGCTCCAGTGAACATACATGATAGAAACTGCAAAATACACACATTCACAAAACAAAACAGTTATTTAAAGATGTGATTATGTATTCACATTTGCTTATGTGTGTAATACACATAAATTAGAATATACAATAGAGGAAGAAAATGCTATTCTTACCTTATTGCACTTGCAGATAAGTGGCCATAAGAACCACTGGCTGAGGAACTGCTACGAGAATTATTGAGAATTGTGACCAAGGAATTTGGAGATGTCCGTATCATGGTTTGAAGGTCAAAGCTGTGATCAGATAGGGGGGATATGGACAATGTACGCTTTCGGCTTGGTCTAGCTGACAATCTTGGACTCGGAAACCTGGCGCCTGTTATGTAAACACAAACAATTATCCAGGGTACTTAATCACATTTATTTGTTATCAGTGATGGGTAAAGGGAGTCGCAAGACACCAACAGGCTGTGACAAGCCCACACTCTCCACTTGTGATCTACTGGCTACGATTGAGGAAAATTAGGAAGAAAAATATAGCTTCCTGTGGCTTACCTCAGGGGAGCTCTGTTTATTAAAGTGCAAGCAAAATGATAAATTGCTAAACAAAAGGAAAAGACTTTTATGAGTTATCCCTCTCATTTCTGGTGATTTATGAATCTGATGGCTTCTTAGACATTCACATCATTAATTCAACCATGAGCAATGAGACAGTGGTTCAGATCCGGGCTACCAGAAAACCGAAACTCACATCACTTAAATACACACAGCCAAAGCTAAACTTGTAAAATATAGCACAGAAATGAAGAGGTAGCTTTTCCTTTGTTGACCCTAAGTCTGCCTGGTTGATACTTGACGCAAAACTGAAAATCAGGACTGAAAATACAGGATGAAGGCCAGATCTATCAGCAGAAGTCAAATTGACATTCAGAGCCTTAGACTGAGAAACAGTAGGGTCTATTTGAATTTGCCCAAGATCCCATGGTATTCTTGGGTTGGGGTGTACAGGGGCCTATGATTGCCAAATTTCTTTAAAACTAAACACTAAGCTTTTCAAAGCAGCAAAGAGAAGGCAACAATAAAGATATCATTTAAACAAATACATATCACACTTCTAAATTTTCCATGATGCTCTGAAAATCTCTACATCTTCTGGTCTGTTTTACCATGTCATCCCAACTCTCTGCAGTCTTAATTAATTCAATCTCGGTTGAGAGTGAGAAGGAGAAAGTTAGCTTCCCCACTGGCTACTGAACTATCTCATTTAACAGCACTGCTGCTTACACCTTTTTAACACCTTTAACCTGTAGTAAAGGACTGACTCCTAACAATCACAGAATCACAGAATGGCCTGGGTTGAAAAGGACCTTAAAGATCATCTAGTTTCAACCCCCCTGCTGTGGGCAGGGTTGCCAGCCACTAGCCCAGGCTGCCCAGGACCCCATCTAGCCTGGCCTTGAACCCCTCCAGGGATGGGGCATCCACAGCTTCTCTTGGCAACCTGTTCCAGTGCCTCACCACCCGCACAGTGAAAAATTTCTGCCTAATATCCAACCTAAATCTCCCCTCTCTTATTTTAAAACCATTCCCCCTCATCCTGTCACTATCAACCCCTGTAAACAGTCACTCCCCCTCCTGTTTATAAGCTCCCTTCAAGTGACAGCCATCATCATGCAGGGTCTTGGGAGTATTGCCTACTTTACAGCTACTTCTCCCAGAGTCCCTAACATTCTCTGTAACTTGCTAATAATTCACAGTTGGCCACACACCTCCATTATAGGTTTGCCTAATTCTTGCTCAGGTCTTGATTTTTCAGCAGGTTATTTAAGCTTATGTGCCTAACATTAACCAGACGAGCCCCACTGACTCCAGTTAGACTCACCTCAAGGACAGAGTTGGATTAGAATCCACCATTAAGTTTTCCTTACACACCTGAGTGGGTTGCCCTTCTTTCTGTGCATGCTATCCAAGGTTTTCACCTGATATTAAAAGCTGCCATTTTAGAGCTGATGTGACTGTGTGATCAGATCTACGTCAAAAGTCCTTCTCCTAACCTGTGCTCAAATTTGCCTCAACTAGCCAACATGGGTGTCAACTCTGCTTGGCATCTGGTTAATAGATTTTTTTCCTTCATGCTCCGTCTCCGCAATATGCCTTAGCCCATACTGCTTCAGTCTTTCAACGAATATTCACGCTCTTGATTCATCTTTTAAAACTTATTTCTTCCTAAAAGCTACTACATATTATTTTATGCAATCTGGTTTATCTCCATTTTATAAGCTTGCTGTTGTACTGTGCCTGCTTGGTATTTTATTAGTGCTACACTTCGTGTCTTTCAAAGGCAGAGAGCTTTTATTTGTGGTAAAATAAAAACCAGCAATGATCAGCACCTATAAGAAGCTGCAACATATATAATAAGGAAGTACAAGATGCATGTCATGGCAAAACACAATTCAAGTGCTTTATAGGTGAATAAACTCTCTTACTGTGTTTTTACAAGAGGATAGCTACGTACGTTCCTGGTTAAACAGCAAGTGAAGGGGACAGGGAAGACCGGCTAGACATTGGCTGAGCAGCAAAATGAGATGTTACTCAAGCACTGCTACCACAGTATCATGTGTCACTACCAGCCATCCTTATGGTGTGCTATGTACGACAGCAGCAGTTTGAAGTCACGTGAACATAATTATGAACCCCCCTGTTTTCTTCAGACTGCTGGGCACAGACCTCACTGTGCCATCAAGAAGGCAGCAGAGATGCTCAGCGGGGACAAGCACAGCTTGCTCTCTTTTGATAACCAAGACTTAGTTACTAATTTCTGTATTTAATACTGAGACACTGTGTGCTACTGATGGCCACATATGAAGAGTTTCAAATATGATTTCAAGAAGAAACACTTTGAAAGACTACTTCTTATGGATCTAAGTCCAGTTTTGAATCCGTACAACTACAAAGGGATTGCCACTTATTTGAGAAATTCATTACAAGCCTGTTAAACATGGACTGATGGCTACTGATGTTGACTAGAGAGGGGGTGCATAAGTTTGATCAAAAATGTGGAGCGGTTGTTATGAATATTGGCACCTGAGTACTTCTCCTCTGAAGCTAGACTGGACAATAAAAGCAGGAGACAACGTATTACATAGGAGGGCAACTTATACCCCCTGCGGTGTACTGCAGATTCTCAAAAACTACAACAACTTCCCTCCTCCTCCTCCTTCCCCTTTCTGGACTGAGCCCATCTCCTTTACCCATTGCCCAAGTCACACTACAGCTCCTGTAAGAGGCCCTTCTCCACCCGCCACTCGCTAAACCTCCCCCTTGCCTGGCAGATGCTGCCAAGCATCCCTGTCCCCGCTCTGTGGGGGATGCACCAGTCCTGTAGCCAGTGACGGAGGAGGACGCCCTTTCCAGCTGTGAGGGGCTTCAGCCACACCACACAGCAGTCTTGGGTTTCCTCTTCTCCTCCAGGCACTGCCTGTTTCAGGCCCCACCTAGATCTGGGAATTGGGCAGTGCCCTCCATCAGCCTGGGATGGGAACAACCTCCTAAGGGCCAAGAGCATCCTGCAAAAACAGAATATTTCTGCTTCACAGCAGGACCAGCTGAGGTCAGGCAAGAGCTCTACAGAGTCTGACCACAGGAGAGGGGGATTGACTTCAAGGGAGGCCACGACTTTCAAACTTGAAAATACAATTAAATGGAATTACTCTTTTTTCAGATCTTTGTGGTTTAATTAGGTTTCACATGCCTAAAAAGTCTCAAGCATCAGCTTACCACTCGTCACACTGCAGGATATTTGTTAAACCATTCATTTAGCATAACATCAGTCTTAGTTAGTGTATTACTATAAAAAGGAATAGGTCACATCTTGTTAGTGCCTTTGAACACGAAATCAAACTCTTCAGCCTTGCCCAGGCATTTATTTTAAAAACAAACTTCAATATTTATTTAGCAATTTGAGACACTCGTCTCCCACCGAAGCATTAATTCCCTGCTCGATAATGCTTTAAAACCAAAAAATGCAGGAGCACTGATACACTAAAAATCCATTTATGTCCGTGCAAGTGCTGAAAAAAAAAAACCAGCAGCTTTGTCAAAGTATGCAAATGGACACTGACAGGGAAGATCTGTTTAGGAATGTCACATTTTTGGAGTAGACATTATAGTAATAACAACTCAGTAGTTGATAGTAAAGACTTGAGTGTGCTGACAAAAAATCCAGCAGGTGTCAGAAGAAAAGATCTTATTCCTGGGGTGGAGATCAATTCTAAAATAACAGATATCTATTTCCATCATAAATTTCAAAAATGGAATATGCCATCCAGCAAATTTGCCTATGAATTTGATTTCTGAGTTGAAGTTTTTAGCATTGCTTAAACATTTATAAGGCAATCTTCAGACATGTATCATTTATTCCATCCCTTTAAATCAAACTTCATCAAACCTTTTTTATTCCATCCCTTTAAATCAAACTTCTTTGAACCTGTCTCAGGCACTAGTTTTTGTTGAAGGCTGTGAACATGGGAAGTGTGGGGTTTTTTTTTTTTACATTAAGTTTGTTTTTTTCTTTCTTTCTTTTCTTCCTGGTTTCTGCTCACAGGTGTGTAAAATTTGTTTTCACTTCATGAAAGTTTGTCATAAATTTTGTCTCAGTTTTCAAAATGAGATAAATCTGTCATCAGTGTGAGAGGAAAAGGAATGGCTTTGCTACTCCACCCTCATTCTCCAACTGTGCCTGAAAATCAGGTATCAAACCCAAAAGGCTGTGATTTTTTTAAATTATTTAAGTGCTTAAAAGACAGTTTTGGCATACAGTATCTTTACAGCCACAACAAGGAATTTCAGTTGTTGCTACTGTGGTGCTGTCAATACCTTCCCCATCGACTCTCCTCCTTGGTACTTTGATGTTATACTTAAAGGTAGCACATCCGACCCTTTAAGATCAAGCAAGAAGACTGGAAAACTTGGTCAGGGATTCTGGCCACCAAAACTGTAGAAAAGCTTTGCAGCAGCAAAGAAAATTCTGGTCCACTTTTCATGGCACACAGGACAGGATGAGGAAGAATGATACTCAAGCAAACATAATCTTGGCCTTATTCTTCCACAGTATATTACACAGGTCACGGGCAGTGAAGTTCAGAGCTTCAAGAAGTCTACTGCTCTTTAGGCACAATTTAACTTTCTGATTAAAGCTTCTCCCACTCATATAATTTCAATTTTGAAATCAGTTTTACAGCACTACAGAGCAAAACAAAAGGCCCCAAACTGCACAAACTGTATATAACATGCTTTTGTGCCCAGCCCATGCTGGTGTTGGAATTATTATTTTTACTACAGAAGAGGGTAGAGATGCCAAATTACTGTGCTAGATGCTCTATAAACACACAATTAGGAGACAGACTCGCCTCATAAAAGAAGAACAATGTTTCCCTTGTATCTGTTTGGTTGTTGTGTGGAATAAACGAGCAGCAGCCTTTGAGTGAGTCGAGTCAACTTGCTCAAAATTTGACAGCAGATAATGAGGGAAACTACCAATCTCTCTTCTGTTTCCTTTGACAAGACCAGGCAAAAGGCGAAAGAGTACTTTTAAGATCACCATACAAACCCTTAAGAAGAAAGATCCAAACAAATGGCATTGCTTTGCATTGATCACTGTACTTTGTTTTTAAATGCAAACATGGGCATTCTTATTTTTTTTTTTAAGTCTTAATATCAGCTTCCTGCTAATTGTTTTGTTCTCATTTCTAATCTAAAATTCTGACAAAGAAGAAAGGGGTTTTCTTTAGCATGATGAATGATAGGACATTTGGATTCCTACTTAATGACAATTAATTTACTGTATCCCCATGAAAGTTAAGATAGTTTTAATGAGTTTTTACAAAGTAAAAGGGTAACTTCATACTCTATTTAGATAAAAGCAGCTATTGCCTGACTAACCACATTCTCATCAAATACAGAAGGTGAGCCGAGTGACCTTACTAGGATTCACTCATTTTAATTCTCTATTTACTGTTTAAAAATAACCCATTTGCATAACAGTGCTACACATTTTTTTTGTCTTTAACTCTGAAATAAACACTAATTGAAAAGTTGCTGCTATAATGAATCTCACATGTGTGATCTTAATTTTTAAAAACAAACATAAAACAAATTAAAGAGCGCATTTCAAATATATTGTAGCTAAAGCTGTTGACAGCAAACATCCTTATCAGAGATAGTGTTTACGTACCTTTTATGAATGGGCTGAAGTTATGGGCAAAGGTCAAAACATTTTCCCTTAAATGGGAAGTGATAACATTCTTGGGATGCAACATCTGTAATTCTATGTAGATTACAGCATACACAATCTCTCCTAACACAGGAAGGTCCTTTGTGCAAATGTCATTATTTCTATGAGTACTGCAATGTCTTCTGTTTTTCTCATGATGGCATACATCTGGGTATCTATCTTCCTACAGACTGAACAGACTCATTCGATCAAGTCTACATTCAAATATATGGTTTGGTACTGCTACCTACATGCATTCAGAAACTCTATCCCAGTAGGAACAAAAAACATTGGAAGTATAAAATATCCCTGCTCATTGAAGGGATGACCATTAAAGGTCCCTTCCAACCCAAACTATTCTATGATCCCTTTACTTCAATGAAGTCATGTCCATTCATATAAGCTGAGGATTTGTCCTTGCAACTGGAACAAAGCAGCACATTTACATTACCTGAACCATGCATAACAGAGTTTCCATTCTGGAAGATGATATTCATATGCATCAAATGCATTAGCAGCATACCTCATCGTTTCCTACTCCTCTCAAAATCCAGACCAGGAAGTATCATATTCTTAAGCTTTCAAGCACTGAAGCCTGTACATTAATTTCTGGTTTAAGTCCAGATGGTTTGTGTGGTTTTATTATGTTTCTGAAGTGGGTTCAAGGTATGTTACATTACTGTAAAATCACTATGCACGCTACTAGTGCAGTGAGACCAATAACAGCAACTGAATTTAAAAATCTTTCATTATCAAGGTAACAGAATGAAAAGAGTTTCCCTGCCCGGTTCCACAACTATCTGTCTTGCCCAATTCTTGTAAAAATTGTTGGTCAGTCAACTACTTCACACTCCCAGGCATGTGTTCTGCAGGGGAAGCTATCTCTATTCCCATGCGTTACAGAAGTGAACCTCCCAGCTCCCACACTCCTTGAGATCAGCAGCTATGGCATGCAGCCAACAGCAGGGCACAAGAAACTGCATGCTGACAAAGATTTTGAAAAGCTGTGGCACAACAAGGTGGTCTAATGCTATTGTATTGCTCTGTACTACTAAGCAAGAGTCAACAGTCACCACCTTTTCTTGTCGCCACCTTTTATTTCCATTGCTGGAAGGAGCCGAGTACATCCCAAAAAGCATGTAAGCATCTTATGACTAGAGGGAAGTGTTCTGCATAATCCCTTCAGGCTGATCAAAAGCAGCAGTAGCGAGCAGAGGGGAATGGGGTGCTCTCTTTTCCTCCTTCACCAAAGAAAGGGAGACAGATCAGAGGTCTGAAAGATGCTGAAGTGGGTAAAGAAGGCTCTTAATATTGAAGGAAAACTAAGTCAGGATCCTTGAGAATTCAGCAAATTGCTTCACCTTTAGAAGTGGTATCAAAGTCTATCGGTCTACAATACACACAACCCGTAAGTATGGCTACCAACTCTGTAAAAAGAAGGGGAGCATGCTCTCCTAACAGAAAAACAGATGTAAACCTTTTATTAACAGAGAGCTCATCAGGGAGCTACGCTAACAATGAAAGTGAGTTACTGATTATGAACAGAAAAGGACATTTTCAAAAGCACTCAAGTCCTGCTGGAAATAAAATTTATAACCTGTGTTAAGGAGCAGTCCTGTTCCTCTTTCTACTTATTTTCAAAGTTTATTTTCAGACTTGACGTAACCCTTGTACATTTGGCAATCAATGCCTTCGCCCTCCAGCCTCAGGAGGAGGCTTACGTTGACTCCCACTTCTCTATCTGCTTGGAGGCATTTTTGGGTCAGACCAGGAAAAACCCACGTTGTTCCCTTTGTAGGACTGTCTTTATTTCTAGAAAACATCACTTACTATCCATGGTGTGAAGATATTCCATATGAAGAGCGCCGGCTCCTGCAGTGGCAGCTGAAGGAATGATGTCTGCGTACGGGCTGCGCTGGCCTGCCAACAGAGCCATCTGATGATAATATTCAGCTGGACTGATGCCAGCATGTGGAGCTAAAAACACAACATAAAAAGCACCGTTAATGACGTAAGATAAATGAGAAGGAAAGTTTTATCACATTGCTGGTTTCTCTGGCTATTAAAACAGCTTGTTTATTTTTAATGTAATGGAATGTCTGCAGTGTGGCACCACGGGTCAATATATTTCAACCAGTGACACTGCAAAAACACCATTCAAAAAATACCATGGCATAAAAAATTAATGAGCTTGGTGATCTCATATTTTTATATTTATTATTAAATGACTCAGAAAGTGACAGGCTGACAGCAATGGAAACTAGTATGATTTATTTAGTGACACAGAAGTGCAGGAAACCCTTCCTAGAGTTTTATTCCTATTTACCTTATCCCTGGCCCAAAGGACTCCATCTGTAAGGTAACAACAGTCTTGAACTTCCATAAGCATTCAAGTTTCTGGAGTGTCTGTTTAGAGGACCAGAAGATTTTCACTCACAGTGGCAGTTTGTGTATAAGCTTAGGAGTAAGCAAGGACAGAGCATAATTTCAGGACAAATACTAGTTGTCCATGAACATAGAGGCAGTTTTTGGGGAGGACAGATTGAAGTCAATGAATGTGGCCATCCCATCCTTCAAAGTTCATATATAAGTGTACTTGACACATGAGCATGTTTGCAAAGTCAAAACCACAGACAGGATAGGCTCTACATCCCATCAGTGAGATTAGGAGTGATACAATCCTCTGTTAACAACTTACATTAGCCTTTCTCTTCTGTAAAAATAATATGCAAGCTTTCTGTTCTCCTGCAGTTTTCAAGCATGCCATCAACTAATGGGCAACTCTGGACAAACACAAAAATCCACATAATTTTAATACAATCTAATCTCTGCAGGCTTCAGATACTACAGTAAGTAGAGGGTCATTTAACGAGTTTGTGTGAAAGTACTCATAAAACAAGCTGGGCTCGATCTCCTTGATCCTGACTCTGACTTGCTAGGTGAGCTGAGGTGAGCAGCCTTCCCTTCTGCTCTCTACCTGTCTCACTTGCAAAACAGTTAAAATTACCTTATGATCTGCTCATGGTATGTCAGTTTGCCTATAACACTCTGAATTCCTTAGGTTAATGGGCTACACCCCAACAGATTTTTTTTAATATTCTTCAATATTATTTAATGAGATTTTTCTTTGATGCCAGCAACTGAATCTTGAACAGAAATAAAATTTTAAGCTGAAATTATTTGAATTACCAACTTAACCTGAATATTGTTATTATACAGTATTACCAGAAAGGATAATTTATGTTTACGTTAGGGAATCAGATCCTAAATGCAAACTTTGGAAGCAAAGAATCGACATTTACAATAAAAGGAGGTAAAGTTGGCACTGAAGTTTGTAGAAAAGTTTATTCAGGAATGGATTTCTCAAGTGCATCATGTATCTTTATTTTTACCAAATAAAATGGAAGAATGTCCTTTTGATGTTATAATGTTAAATATAACCATTTTTTAGGAAGGGTTCAGAAAAATAAATGTACATCAAACAGGAACAGGAATGGCATAAAAATGAGCTCCTATGAAGTAAAGGTTCTTGGAATTTTTTCCAAATTACAGATTGATTTCTCAATTAAATATAACCTGCTTCAGGCGCCACCACCTTCTGTGAAATGGTAACAAAAATATTTAGACCAAAATTTAAAAGCAAAGTAACTCACACTGAATCACTGATTTTCTAAGTTTTACAGTACTAGGCAACCATCGTATCTTTCCAGACACACTTAAAATACTTCCTGAGCTTTCTGACATAAGTGTCTGGGTTAACTAACAATAACATTGGCTGCTAACTTTAAAATGAACTGCAGAAAACATAGTGAACACATAATTGCATTGCTAAAAGTTCCATATGCTGAGAAATGCTCTGGTGCTCTTTAAAGATCATTCCTTACTACCTTCTTCAAACATAAAAAATTAGCCTACTAAATGATGTATTGCAGGAAGGGTAAATGAAGGGTAAACGGGAAGGCCCATAGCCCTGAATTTTCTCCTGTTTATTCCTGGGTAGCTTCACCTTTGCCCCTGCTTTTTTACAAGGGAAGGCATTTGCTTCTGCACTGTGGGCACTGCTGAGTTTTCGTTTGAGTAGTCTGCTCTAGTGCACCAACAACTCAGTCCTTACCCCTGCCCCAGCCCCTCTCCCTGGCCACCCCCAGCCTGCTGATTCTGCTGGGCAAGGTAAAATGACAAGACAGAAGACGCCCCACCATTACTGCTCCCGCAGCAGTCACTGATTACAGCTGGCAAGCCTTGTAGTGAACATGAAACTGCTCTTCGCTATGTTCCGGATTGTTTTGGCTCCCGGCCATCCCCAGATCTGTGAGGTGACAGACTGAGCCCAATAGGACACTGACCTAATTATCTAACTGGCCTAAACCAATTAGGGTAGCAAGAGAAATCTTGCTACGACTTTCAGAAGAACAATAACAACTTCCAAGCTTTCATAGCTCAAATGCTATACAACTTAAGCCATGGAGTCCATTATGTTATCAGTATGTTATGTGCATGAACCCCTTTAAATCACACAGGTCTCTTATTTGCACTCTAGTAGTGCCCAAGCCATGACTTGGATTATCTGACCCCAAGAACCTACACCTGAAAAAAGCACTTAATTGTATACCTGACTGATCATACAACAAACTATGGATTCCAGAGAAAAAATGTAACAGCTTTTCAATAAGCATGTTGTTTTACTGAAATATCACCAATGCCTCAATCAAGTTCCTGTATTTTCACGAGGTGCTGCACAACACCTGCGCTGTGGCAACTGATCAAAGATGAGCTATGAGCCTAGACGAAATGTGAAGTAACATGTAGTTCTTTGAAACCCAAAGAAAGAAGCTTAAGCTAGTAAGTTTAGCTTGTCCTTACGAAAGGCTAAGGTTGTGTATACAGCCAGCGATCAAATCTCAGGGGATGAGTGTTAAGACAGAGCGTACTCAACTGCGTTGTCCACACCTGAGTGTCTCCTACCACCTGAAAGCCCATGGGTATCCAAGGCACCTACATGAGGCTGCCAAACCTGAGAAAGGCCTTGGAGGAGAAAACTACCTCTTTTTAGGTGGCAGCTGGAATTGAGGCAAGGTATTTCACAGACCTGAACTGCCACCAAACACCTATGTTGTAGACAGATGAATTTTAGCACCATCATAGTTATGGAGCTCTAGACTCAGCTGGTAAAATGCAAGCATCTGTGTTTGGGTGAACTGAATATCTCTCCAAGGCTGCTCCGCTGCCTGCACTACCTAAAACTCACTGGCCTATAATGGCAAAACAGCACACCGGGATCACAGACACTGTGGAGACCTAAATTTATGTGCCAGAATCTGGAACCAAATTCTACCCTGAGACATCCTAGAGTTTGAGAAAGATTACCACTGGCCTGGTTAATATGGCAAAGCACCTCTAGATCTCTGCCCTGCTGGAGTGTCAGTTGGGTGCCAGGTCAGACACCCCAGTGTATTTCAGATAGCACTATGTGCCTACACCTGTGCAAGTGAATTCAGTGTTGTGCGCCTGAGACCAAGAACATACACACAGGTTAATCTCATATGGTTGTTCCTTCCCTCCTTCCTTTGTATGTGCAACTGGAACATACCTTAAGCATAAACGAAATTCTGCAGGAATGGGATTGAAGATTACTGAAGGAAAAATAGTAAAGTGTTCTGCTGCCTATTAGCTTTTGTAATTTTGTGTTTCCAATTTATGCCATTACATTATAGCTCCATCATGTTTATCCTATATCAAAGGCTACAAAGCTCCCTGAGTCAAAACATAGATATGAGAATTCAGATTGCTCCTTCATTTTTTTAATACTTTGGTGAAAATAGAAAGGGTAGAATTAGCAAGGATTCACACAACATCCAAAGTGCTGCTAGGAAAGCCCTATGTGCATGCCATATACCTTGACTGACAATAGGCCATTAAAATTTATTCTCATAAGAACATGTGCCCATAACTAATGGATTAACTGTAAAGGTATATGTTCTTATAAGCGAGGATTAATTAGTTATCCATTTGAATAGGGTGCACGGCTCATTTTTCAAATTCAGCTAAAGGCAGTTTAACTCTGGTAAGTTTCTGCATACAATGGGAAGATCTTTCCCATAGTTAAAGTAATAGTTTAATAATCTCCACTACATATTTGTTTCTAAGTATTTCATAAGTATATTCATTTTAGCTCTTTTCAGCAAATGCTACAATCGTGAAATGTCAAACTGCTTACTCTATTATTGAAAAATCTATTGCTAACAAGACAGCCTTTTTGCAACTCTATTCATTGCTCACTTCAGCAACATTCCCATTGAAATGAACAGGAAACGTGCCAGAGCAGTGACCAGAGTGATCGCAGGAGTTCACTTCAACCCAAACAGCCTGGAAAGTAATAGCCATGGTCACACCAAGGCCTAAAGCATCAATATTTCAATTACACCGCCCACCATTTAAACAAAAGGGGCCAGTCCTTCCAGACACTTCTTCTGCATTGGCATCTTTTCATTTCACCATTTCATTGGCTAGGGCAAACCGAAATAACGCTACATAATTTTAACAGAACTATTGACTAAATATGACAAGTCAGTGCATGTTTTTTTGTGATTAAAAAATACTATATTAATTACCAAGCCTTTTGTACCTGAAGAACTCCATGGTTATATACTGATATATACTCACAAAGAATCTGTCTCAAATCCGTCCAGATACAGCGGATTTCTTGGGGGACCAGAATCACACCCTGGGTCAGCTTGACAAACAAAAGACATACACCACCCTTCCAGTTTAAATTTTGAATGAGGCAGGGCTTTTTTTTTTTTTTTTATTCTCCCTGAAGTTTCAACATTTGTGAGATGTACAAATGAGCCGTGATCGGCTGATGAAGTATTGAAACATTTATGACATAATAAATATGTCTGACAAACCTGATGAAGCTGCTTTGAAAAAGGGGGAAAAAATGTTGACAAGATTAATATAACTTCAGTTGCTACAATGACAGAAAACAGGAAGCCTGTCTGAACCCACCATCTGTTGGGCTGAGTCCGCGGGCTGCCGAGATCATGGAGAGGGATGGGCTGCTGTGCAGGGACCTGATGTAGTCCATGTAGGGGTTAATGTACGGGTGAGGGGTGCTGAAGGGAGACTCCGATGCTGCAGCAGGATTTCGGTGTGGGGAAATTCTAAGGAACGGAAGCTCTGAGTATGTCGGGCTACTAGACAAGGCAGAAGGCCTGGAAGAAAAAAGAAAGAAAAATAAACAAAAACCAGCCAGGTTATTTATCCAATAAAGAAAAAATACTGTAAAGGTAACACATTAATTTCTTGAAGAATAACAACTGCTCTGCACACGTAATAACTTCCACTAAAGTCAACTGCATGGAAAGAAAAAAGATAGGAAATTAATTATTCTCTGTACTCATTATTAGCAACATTTCTTTAACCAATTTTAAAATTAGTTTATATTTGATTTAGTCTTTACATTCCTCAATACCCTTTCCCCTTGGAGTTCATCAGAAAATCACTTTAATTAGTGTGAAATATGCACTCTGTATACCACGTTAATTCTTGCTGCAATATGGAAGACATACTGAGATGCTGAATCACATCTTCAAAATCACGTGGCTATTGTAAAATGAGTTTCGAGAGCTACAGTGTGCCCACTCCTTCATTTGCCAGCTTATTCTTCCTGAAAGCGCAAGACTGCACATCTATACACAAGTCATTTCAGAAGACCCAAACTTTGTAACCCATTAAGACAGCTGTGTCCTTTGGAGCAGTTTTTTGTTGATGTCCCTTCCCATTTAAAATGCAGAAAACTTCGTGGCAAACAAAGACAGACTGCTGCATATGTTTTAGCATGGCACCAGAGATCGATGCCCTTAACAAGCCCACATTAATTTACTACGTCGTTCTTGCGAAGGGAGAGCTGTGGTGCCTTCTCAGGCTATGTGTATGAAGCTGTGATGAACCAAGGCCAAAAGCTGAGCTCACACCTGACAGAAGATAAATAACCTGCCATAACCCTCATCATCCCACCCTGTCAATATGACAGCGTCCGGGCTCTGCGTAGAGATCCTCCTCTCACAGCATCCTGCCACCAAAGGGACTGGAAAAAGACCAAATTTCATCAGAAGGGGTAGGAGTGCCTGCCCTTGCCAACCTGCTCTTTGGCAAAAGACAATGACTAAGCCTGTTGTGCATTTGCTGTAGCCCAACTGGCTGACCCGAACTAAATGCCTTTTTGTCCCTGTTTTTCCAATTAATTTAGCATATATACAGCACAGACACAGACAGCAGCTGTGAGAGCAGTCTGTTCCTTTGATGCCGCTGGCTTACAAAGATGAATAAAACAAGAAATGTATTTTTTTTTCCTTTAACTTACATATATTGTGATCAATAGAGTTCGTTGTCATCACCTAAAAGGCCAACAGAACATACTCTTACATAGGAGCCAATTCTGGCCCGTCATCACCTCGGAAACGCTAGCGTATGAGCGGAACAAAGATCAAAGGTATGCATTCTTAACACACGGCCAGCTTCCCTGCCACAAAATCCATGAGGGCTCATAAAATCCAGGGAATAATGATTTTTCCTGGTGTGCTTTTGTCCCCTTTTTTTCCCTTTCCCTTCCCTATTTGGCTTTTGTGTGTTTCTTGCCCTCCTACGGCTTTCTGAAAGGTAAGCCTGTTTAGCCTTCCCATATGAAATTACTTCCTAGCTCCAAAGTTTGTCAGAGATCTGCATTCGTTGTGTGCTAGCAGCAAGTACTGGCAGTGCAATCACTCCTCTGGGACACGAGCAAGTGACCCACACGACGTCCAGCTGCTCAGCAGTACGCCTTCACCATATTAAAAATGCACCGAGAACATGAAATCAGAAGCTGTTTTCCACCACTGTGCAAAACAGGCATCTCCTTTCCTCAGAGCACTTTTTCTCTGCATGGTTTTGAAGCACCTTTGTTTTATGGTGGAAAATCAGCTTTACTCTTGTGGGTACTGTGAAACCCGACCAGACATGAAGCATTTGCTCTCATGGTTCCCCGTCAGGCCAAGTGTGGAAGGAAGGAACCTTAAAACTCACGGTGATGTAGGAAACAAAAACACCACAGCTGGATATCACATTACAGAGTGAATTTCCCATACTGGCAGTGAGAAAAATACAGTAATATAACAAATTTAGCACAAGAGTAACAAAGAAACCAAGTTTGGATGTCATTTTACAAGTCATTTTTTTCTAACATGATCTCAGCTTTTCTGAGTTAGAAACCCAAGAGCATGCAGGCAAGCAGGAGCCCTGGCCTTATCTGGTGCTTATCGAACAGAAAACTGTTTAAAAGCTTTTGCAAGAAGGCTGAAAGTCTGTATCAACCTCAGTGATTCACTCTCCAACTGGCCAACAGCCAACTGCTGCCGCAGGAGCAAGATTAAGAGCCAGGGGGTCAGCTTCTCCCTCCAGATCCAATGGGAGCCATTCAAGGACACTGGGACTCAACTGCTTCTCCTCCTCCTCAGCCCTGCCTCCTCCTTTCTCCGCTCCTCTGAGCTCCTCAGTTTCCCAAGGATGCTAGGGAAAGGACACCAACCTGGATAACATCACCCAACAGCAGGCATACAAGCTGTATTATCTGAGGCAGAAATAAGGAGTTGTCAGATTCCCCACAAAATTCCCAGCTCTGGACTCTAAATGTTTACTGGTTTTTTGGGGTTTTTTTTAGGGTAGGTTGTACTTAGAAGAGGTTTTTCCCAAACACAGCTTAAAGTTATTTGGAAACCATTTATGACGGATCACTTCTCTAATACCAAACCAACCTCAAAATTTTCATCCAGATTTTCCTGTGACACAGACCTTTTTTACCTCTAGCCACAGCCAGACAGCAGGATTTCACCTGCATGAGTTAAGCCACTCCCTTACTGCCAAAGAAAGGGATAGGATTTCCAACATCTAATTTCAACATGCTGCTAACTTCTCTGCCCACTTCCAGCCTGTACTTTTCTTGCTTGTCTGCATTTCCAGACCCTCCTTTCCTTACAGTCCCATTTTCCCTTCTGCCTCCACCTGTTCTCAGCTCCCACTGTTTGAGCCCTCCAGATTTATTCCAATAAACGTCACATATTCTCTCCTTCCTTTCCCTTCATGATTAAACTTCACTATGAACATCTTTCAAAAGTATTGTGTAACTCCCTCCTTCAAACTAAAATGTGACTTTTAGGAAGAGTGCAGCCAAACACACTACTAGTTGTTGCTTTGCAACCTCTTTGCGTACCAATAAAGAATGACTTCTGTCCTGTAAACAACAAAGAGTACAGTCCAGGAGTGGCTCTGCCAACACTCAGTGACAAGCAAATCAAGTCTCCAGGTGTGGGTGGCAGTCCACCCCCATCGTTTTTATTTTACACGTACTTTGTCCCCAGCCTTGGTAAATCACGTTCTGCCTTGGGTCTGAGGCTACTTCGTGGGATGCAATGAGTCTTCAGCACGAGAAAAGGCAGGGACATTCTCAGTGGTACTGCCTGAAACTTTATGCCTCACCTGTGAACCATGGGAAGGCAGAACTTGCTCTGTGTGCTCTCCTACGCAGGGGTTTTCCTGTTCAATGACATACTCGGAGCATTAAGGCTTCCTTCAGAGAGAGGGAGCAAAGCAGATGCATGCTCTTTTCTCAATCAGGACCTTTATGCCTACTCCCAGAGACCCTGCAAACTCAACTCACATTTAATACAAAGCCTATCATACTTTCAATACTTAAAAAAAGTAAAAGAGATACTATGGCTGTGTTATATTACTGCAATTTTTATCCTGGTTAGGTTTATTTTATTATTTTCTCAGTAACCTTGATTACATCTACACCCCTGATGTAAAAGAGAAGCAACAGAGAATGGTGCTGGCTGTGAAGGTGCCTCCTCCTTTCTGTCCAAACTGCCTTCCTGCTCACTGCTAAGGTGCCGAAACACCCTGACTGCCACAGCTTCCATATCTAACACAGATCTTCCCACTCCCCACCCATCTCCAGCCTGCCAACTTCTCCCTGTCCCAACTCTGATGCTCTGGAGAATCTCAACTACTCAGCAGGAGAACGGCGCACACGTTCCGAGGCTGTGAGATCAGTGTAAGGGCACACAGGTGTATGTTTTCCTATTAGTCATGACACTTTTTTTTTGATGAATGTTGCAGAGGTGTCTGCAGAGTCTTAAAAACTTATGTGGTGACACCAGTTCAGCAGCTGCCAGCAGCGTCAGATGGATGGCAAATCACAAAATGTGTGAAGCCGTGCTTTTTTCAAATGCTTTTTCTGTGCTGAACCACAGGTGAGCTGTATGTAAGATTTCACTTATTACTCACAAAAACGGTGTGTCATTTTGTTTTGTTGCTTACAGCTGCAACAGATGAATTCAGCACCAGAAGACCGACCAGCAGCAGGTTTGGATTTTAGCCACCACAAAAACGGAACAAAGCGTAATTCCTTTTTCAGCCCATGCAGCCCTTTTTTTAACTGGGGAAGAAAGATCAGGGGAATCTGAGAGCTGATGCGGCAAGCCTGAGTAATACGTATTTCAAAATTATCTACACGCACAGATCATTACCTCGTATTATCTTGAAAGGATCACACATTTTTTCCATCAGCACGGAGAACAAGGTTAGGAAGGCTCATATCACACACTTTAGGTTGTTTTTTGTACCTAAGCATTAGCCAGTTTTACAATAAAGAAGATCAGATGCTCCAAATCCAAGTGGAAATCCTATCCCTTTCTTTGGCAGTAAGGGAGTGGCTTAACTCATGCAGGTGAAATCCTGCTGTCTGGCTGTGGCTAGAGGTAAAAAAGGTCTGTGTCACAGGAAAATCTGGATGAAAATTTTGAGGTTGGTTTGGTATTAGAGAAGTGATCCGTCATAAATGGTTTCCAAATAACTTTAAGCTGTGTTTGGGAAAAACCTCTTCTAAGTACAACCTACCCTAAAAAAAACCCCAAAAAACCAAACCAAAACAAACAAAAAACCCACCACCCCAAAACCATGGTAATTTAAGCATTTCCTGATTTTAAAGGAAACTATTAACTCCAGGACTGGAAATTTTAATGCCAAGTTTTGTCCTGGTAAATTTTTAAATGGCTCTTTTATGAATCTGTCGAAAAAAATACATTCATGTTGAAAATAACAAGTGATCCTTAACTATAACATTGTAAATATGACACTGAGCTGAGGTTACAGATGGAACAATAATCTATCT